ATCAGGGCTCCAAAGTCTTTGCCAGAGATCTGTCTGCCAGAAAGAGCCAACTGTCAAAGCTGAAGACTGAGTGTGGTAGCATCGTTTGCGAGTCACCTGAGATTTTGAGTGAGATTGAGAGGTTCTATGGCCAGCTGTACACATCATCGTTAGAGCCACACGCAAGTCTGAGTAACGGTCCAAGAGCAAGTCTTACCCGACACTATTCCGATGATATCCCGGACGTGAGTCTGAGCGAGATTAGAATTGCTCTCCAGCAACTTAAAAACGGCAGGGCCCCAGGCGAGGATGGAGGACGCAGACTCGACGACTTCCAGCCTCCCGAACGAACAAGCCGGTTTCCGAAAAGGCTTCAGTACCATAGACCACATACATATCCTGCGGCAGATTGTACAGAAGACCGAAGAGTACAATCTGCCACTTTGCCTGGCGTATGTGGACAATGAGAAAGCCTTTGATTCCGTTGAAATTTAGGCGGTGCTACAGTCCCTTCAGCGGTGTCAAGTTGACTGTCGGTATATCGAAGTGCTGAAGTGTTTGTACAGCAGGGCTACGATGGCTATCCGAGTACAGAACCAGAGTTCGAAACCTATCCAACTGCAGACAGGGTAACGTTATATCCCCGAAACTCTTCACCGCTGCGTTGGAAGACATTTTCAAGCGACTGGATTGGAAAGGATACGGTATTAACATCAATGGCGAGTACATCACTCACCTTCGATTTGCCGACGATATAGTCCTTGTGGCAGAATCGCTGGAGGACCTTAGCACTATGCTCAATGACCTCAATGGTGTCTCCCAACGAATAGTCTTAAGATGAACATGGACAAAACAAAGATCATGTTTAATGTCCATGTCACACCTACGCCGGTAGTTGTTGGGAGCACTATGCTCGAAGTTGTTGACGAGTACGTTTACCTGGGACAAATAGTCCGAGTAGGTAAGTCCAACTTGGACCGAGAGGTCAATCGACGGATTCAACTCGGCTGGGCAGCGTTCGGGAAATTACGACACATCTTCTCGTCGGGTATACCTCAATCTCTGAATACTAAAGTGTACAACCAATGCGTGTTGCCAGTGATGACTTACGGATCAGAGACGTGGTCATTCGCTGCTGGCCGTATGAGGACGCTCAAGGTCGATCAGCGAGCTTTGGAGAATGCTATGATCGGAGTTTCTCTGCTTGATAGACTCAGAAATGAGGATATCCGCAGTAAAACCAGAGTGACCGCCATAGCCTAACGGATTAGTAAGCTTAAGTGGCAATGGGCCGGCCATATAGCTCGAAGAACCGATAACCGATGGGGAAGAAAGGTTCTCGAGTGGCAGCCTTGTAACGGTAGGCGTAGTGTAGGGCGACCCCCCACTAGATGGAGTGACGACCTGGTAAGACATGCAGGAAGTCGATAGATGCAGGTGGCTCAGGACCGTGCTTTGTGGCATTACTTGGGGGAGGCCTATGTTGAGCAGTGGACTTATGAAGGGCTGTAATGATGATGAACTCTTTATCGAAGATAGCGTGAAGGTTCTTCATGAAGAGTATCTGCTCTTCCAACCAATGGGTCTTTTCCTCCTATCCACCCCGCAGCTGCTCGTCCAACTGACGGGCTTGTTCCTCCTGCCCGCGCTGCAGCTGCTCTTCCAAATTCCTGGCCTGTTCCTGCAGCATCATCATCAGAACACCTGAGTCATGTGCTGGAGATGTAGGAGCTTCTGACGGACCAGCCTCGTTGGCCGGCGGCTAGCCCTTCGACGTCTGCGGCGTAATGCACCACCAAATCATCTCTGGTCCGTCTCCTGCTGGCGTTGAGTTCGGGAACAGACATCATCCGTTTCGTCCTTAGATAAAATCGGCATGATTTTATCCCACATCTGACAATAATTGTTACGAGCTGAGTGTTCGTGACAATAAAACTGCAGATTGATTACCAAAATTGACACTTTAATTGCCGAACACCAATTACCCTTGACCCTCTTCTACTGAAAACATCTAGAATACTCGAGTGGAATGTCGAAAGTTCTAGCAAGGACTTTTCTAGAAAGCTCTCCTAGTTCTGTTACCCCATAATTGATGGCGCTAGTGAATTTTCAAGAAAGATCTTGACACTCCTGTTTCTGCTACTTGATACTAGATGACGCAACGCTAATAATCACCCGCCACGAATAGGTTAAGAGTTCTACAAACAAGTTGATAGTGTGGCAATGGGCTCACCTAGGCTGACATATTCATGGAGGACTTCAAGGAGAAAGTTTTGCTCACTGCACCTGTGTATCCTAGATTCTACAAGCGGTACGTAGACACTTTCAGAATTTTACGTTCAGAAAAAGTTACTGCATTCTTAGACTACCTTAGTTCCATAAGCTCTAAAATTTAATTCACTATGGAGTTAGAGGCAAATAATTCTTTTCTTTCCTAGATATCTTAGTCTTTCGAAATCCTAATCGCTGATGTACCAGTCATTAATTATGGCGCGCGATGTTTATTGTATAGCTATTTTTAAATAGTATCGATATATATCACGAGAGATATATCTGCCATGATGTAATAGGATGAGCGACAAAATATTCTTACCGGACGCATGGACAACGAAAAAAAACAAAGAGTAGAGGAGTTTAGTGGTAAGTAGAACCATCTCACATAGAAAATAGTTCAAAAAGTGTTCATCTGTAAGCAGTAAATAACAGTTCAAAAACTCTCCACAACAGCGCTGGAGTAGCTAGAGGGTAAGAAACGAACTTATATTACACTACCCTGAATCAGGCTCCCTACGCCCTGATTCAGGGTGGTGTAATAAGAGAAAGGGAGTAAGGGTCCCTAATTAGGGCGTCAAAGTGTACCCGGTCTGCAGTGCCCTTCCACCGTGCAGTGTAATAACACTAAGGGAGTTAGGGCACTTATTCGATGCGCGACTAGGGATGTAAACGATACATCAATTCTTTCAAACATCGATATATCGTTCATACACATGGTTCTTCATGAGCTAGTTTTTATGAACGATGTTCTGCCGTCAAAGGATAATTATCACGAATTTTATGTTGGCAAAAATAAATGTTTGAAACAAAATAATGTCAAAGTTAGATAACGTCTAAATTATTAAAGTTAGAAGGTTTACTAGTATTTATCAGAAATAACTCAATCCCGAAAATTTTATTTACGAATCAACAAACAGGCGAATAGTCTTTCAGCTGAAAATGAATATTCTTGAACTTCAGAAGTACATTTGTCTTCTATCGGTAATTCAATTTCCATGTAAACTTGTAGTTATTTTTATTGTGACAATTAAATAAGATAAGTTTACAAATATTGAAAATGGATTGAAATTGTTTTATTCATTTTCTTATTAATAATTATGTTATTTGAGCTTCAAATTAATGAATGGCTTAAGTAAGGTATTATATATAAGTTAGTAGTTATTTTTTAATGGACATTATTTTATCGGCTTACGGTACTTCGTATTTCGTTACAATCATTTTTCTGAAACATTGATTTTTATGGATGGACGGTTATTCACCTGTTTGTATTTCGCTATAGTTTCTTAGATGTATTCAGAAAATGCGATAATACTCAAGGTTACATATGGAGCTACCATAAAAAATTAACGCACCACATTATAAGAAATAAAATTAAAGCAGAAGACGAGTTTCATATATTACATGTGGGATATCATGAACAGGTTATTTCACGGGCTTCATAGCCAAGATAAGATCTATTTACCTATCGTGGCAACTTCGGTATCCCGTGAGCGGTTATTTTCAGAGGATGGATCTACAACACCCAGGAGAGAAACTACTTACTAGGCACCAGGTTGTCAAAATTGTTATTTTAAAGAAAAAAGAGTAAGCGAGAAGAGAAAGAAATAAACGTAAAAGTAAAAAAATATTTAATTAATTATTTTTTATGACTTCGATAAAATTAAAAGTGTAAAAATAAATAGTGTAAAACTTCCTAAAATAACATAAATATAATGTTTGATTATTATGCTTCTTTGTTTCATTTCCGTTCAAAATGATTATTTATTCCCTATGTATGTCTGTATATATTTAAATGATGATAAAAAACATCGAAAAAATCGATATATCGTACATAAGCTTTGATGTTTTTAATGAGCGATGTTGCATCCTATAGATGTGCTTACTTGGAAAAATAACGACTCGAGTTAACTCAAGTTCAAATTCACACAATTCGAACTAAACCCGAGTTACACAACTATATTATAGTCAGCAGGGCGAAACATAGTAAATTGTTACAATTACTTAAAAATATCGATACAATAAATATATATACATTTTCACTTGTCCATCCCTATGACTGAGTAAGGGCGTAAAATCAGGATACGGCGTGTAATAGGAGCATTAGCAGCTGTCGACGGAGTTATAATTAAAATATCTCAACTCAACATACTTATTTTTTTATAAGTGTGTTGAGTTGAGGAATTTAATAATTGTGGTGACTAGAGTAGTTGATGAAACTGCAGTATTTAAAACCTCAACTACTCACGTTGTCTAAAATTATTTAGTAAATATAACCTAGAAAAAGTCACCGTAAAACACGTTGAGTGATTTTGAAAATAAAAATTTTGAAAACTATAAAATAATTATTATAAAAAGAATTATAGTGAAAATTTGTGCAATAAAAAGTTATAAAATTTTCTTTAAAATTTACTCTCTCCTACAGTAGTATCACCCTTATTTAGTGCTTTTTAACGGACACTTTTTAAACAGTGACGGTGACGGTTCTCCTTACATAGTAATCTATGTATCTATTTATCTATGCTCACAAACTAATCTAATGAGAGTACTAACGTAATCTATGCTATTCATTAGTTTGTGTGTGGTTGTTTATAAACTGAAACTGCAATAAAGGTTTCTCGTGTTAGTACTTAGTATGGTATATTGAAACTAAGATAGTCTAAGAGATGAATAAGAACTATGAAAGATGTATAAACTGCAATCGACGAAAATGGCTTGCATCTGGTTGTCTTCGGAAGTGGTTAAAGCCAATGGAATGTAAACATTTTCAACGAAGCATTGATAGCAAACATGATTTCAATAATACAGACATAGTTAATTGCGTATTTCTTGGAGAGCGTAAAGCACCTGTAAATACAAATAAATTTATAAAGTTTTGGAAAAATAAATTCTTCATAACTGGTAGTGTCAGGTCTTTACAAAGATACTTTAGCAATAAAAATAGTAGTAGCGAATTTATTTGCGGTTTTAACAAGACCACAGATCCATGTCCATCTACGGGAAAACGATTAGAACATGATTCTAGTTATGACATAAAAAAAGATATTTTTGAAAATCTTACATTAAATTGTCAACATTCTGAGGGCCATTCGGTTCTTAGAGGACATCACCAACATGCATCTATGGAGACTTGTGCTATATATTGTCAGTTATCTAAGTAAGTTACTTTGTTTATTTCACATAGTTTACAATCCAAATTAGGTATATATATATATATACAGTGGATTTCGGGTATAACGACGATGAAGGGACCACTCTATTTTCGTCTTTATATCCGGAAGTCGTTACAAGCAAAGGTAAGCAAGTGTAAAGGTATGTAATATACAGACACGTACACATGTATAGTTTATATTCATTTATTATTGAAAATATTTGCAGGCATAGTTATTCACTGGTACATTTCAAAATGCTACTCAGAATATCACTTTATAACTGAACCATAAATTTAACTCCGAAACGTATACACTCTCCTACCTACTTAGCTGATATCTATAAACAAAAGGTAAAGGTCTCCAAACTTGCTGACCATCTGTGTAGATGTAAACAAAAGATAAGAAACGTTTGTGAAAAAAGAAATCTTTGTGTCTTTGGTGACCGACTCCAGTTGCAATATCTGCATGGGATTTCTAAGAATTTGTTACAAATAATCCAATAAAAACAGTCGCTATACCCGAACTCGGCGTTACATCCAAAGTCGCTATAGCCGCATGAATTTTGTACTAAAGTATACTTTAAATTCAAGGGACTTAGATTTAACGTCGCTATAGGTAAATGGTCGCATGATTGTATATATATATATATATATATATATATACCAGTATTTTGCTTTTATAGGATTGGGAATTTACCATTTTTCATTATTGTTAGCCATTGCTTGACTACTATTCCACCTGATAGTAAATGGTGGTGCAGCCTAAGATGGTGAAGCTGACTGACTTTACTTGTAAGAAAGTAAGTTACAGCCTATATACATTCCACTGCTGCTGCGGTGTGCAGGCATCTCATTTCTGAAATGGTTTTAGGGCAAGGAAGTGTCCACCGCGTTGCCCCAATGCGTGTTGGCGAACTTCACATGTCTTTGAAAATTTTTTTTTCTTGTTCCTCAGCCATGCAGCCGCCAAGCATGTGGTAAATCAGCACTTAAATTTGCAATTAACAATTTCATTGGTGCCAGCGGGGATCGAACCTGAGTTACTTGTGTTCTGTTATATTTACAGCGAGCGTTAACCATCTGAGCTACCACAGCTCATAACAACCCTATTTATATTTATTTGTTGTTTTCACTTTGCAGACATGGATGGTACTGGGGTGGTATAACAGCAAGTGAAGCTGAAGAACTTTTAGCGGGGCAACATGACAATGTTTTTCTTGTAAGAGACTCATGCGATTCAAGACATATACTCTGTGTCTCCTTCCGATGTGTTGGCCGAACACTTCATGCTCGTCTTCGGCATGCCAATGGACTTTTCTCATTAAACAATGAAACATTTGTACCTGCTAACAGAATATCAGAACATTGTGCTACAGTGGATGTGAAGTCAAATTTATTTGAGATGCCTGTAAAATTAGCAAGACCCTTAAACAGGTAGGACATAATTGTTTGATAAAAATTACCTTCTGTTGACCATGTGGCTTAATATTCAATGTCTAGGGTTATAGATACAGCTGAATTTCTTATTTCTATGGAAACTGAATGTAGGGAATGAGCAAAATTAGTGCGGACAAATTCACATATGTGTAGGAAAGGTGCAGTGTTTAGCAACTTATCAGTCTTCGATTGCACATATCCATCAATCCTTATTTAAGTTTACCTTATCACCCCCTCTCTGCAGTGGGATAGATTTATTACTCTGGTTCAACCATCTTCTGAGAGCTGTAAAACAGGGTGACATTATATCACCGAACCTTCATTGCTGTAAAATAATAACAATAAAAATGCAGATGCATTGTCACTTCTGAGGTCTAAGATTGAATGGGTCGCCGGATTTCTACACTCAACATATGAAACACAGCAGTATTAAGCTGCTATTTTATGCTGGTATTCTGTGGTTCTTCCCCAGTCGAGCCGACCCATTTGTGTTGCAACCATAATATAGTTGCAGCGTGGCTCATGGCATAAAGAGGCTAAGTTCAGCAGAGGATATATGGACTGTAATTATGATGATGACCCACCCTCAAATCAGGGTCGGCAGGCGGTGATACTATCGCGTGTGGACGCCGCGTGTAGGTGGTATGTGTAGGTAGGTGTAGGTTTTTGCGTGCTAATACTGTTTCAGCCCTTCAAGATTTGTATATAATAAATAAATATATATTCAATATCGTTTTTTTGCAGAAATAAATACATACTAAAACATTAGTCTCTTGTTAAATAGAAAATTACCTAAAACTTTAATTATCACAAATCCATATTAGTCAGTGATAGTAGTTTTAAATGTTAAGCGCAAGTGCTGATTTATCATTGGGCCAGTGATGAAGAAAAACATGCGGAGAAAACTTTTGTGGACGAAAATTAAAATTATTTGGGATCAAAGACATTTATTCTCATAAGAATTTACATAAATTCACTTAAATGAGAACTATTTTACAAACATGTTAATTCTCTAATGCCCACTAGATCAGACTCTCTACTTATCATAACAATAAGTTTATAATATTTTAATTGCTGCTTGTGTCCAACAATATCTACAAAAATATCCTAGTAATTTATTTACTTCTAGAACTTTACAAACTTTTTGCCTATGTCTGTATATCTACAGTATACTTACAGATACCACATATATACAATAAGTGAAACCACAAGTAGCCATCAGTCCATAGAAGTGAGTAAATTAAATATTAATTTAAAAATACTAATTTAAAAAAAAATTAAATAAATATCAGTAAAAGTAAACACTCTGTTTAGACAACACGCGGGCGGTATGGCGGTTGGCAGTGTTATTGTCGGCACCACAGACTATGAGTCTGAGTTTACATGGTAGAGCCATGCTGCAGTTATATTAGTAGTATGGTTGTAGCACGAATGAGTCTGCTCGACAGAGGAAGGACCGCGCTCTCACAGAATACCAGCGTAAAATAGTAGCTTAATGCTATTGTGTTTAAAAAAAAGCATATCTATGTGCCTATAAAAAAATTAAAAAAGCGTGATTTTACCTGATTCTTTGGACAGCCCCTAAGAAACTTGTTAAACTATTTGTATTTATCTTACTAAAAATAAATCACTTGAAGCAATGCGTGCAAAAAGCGAAATGCACACACACTATCCTGGAAGATTCGCGGTGAACTGAAATAGCGACACCAAATTGGCGAAAATAATAAAAATAATAAGTAGCAAGCACACGGTGTAAATACCGTTTATTGATACTTTTTTTACACTTACATACTACCTAAACAAGGCATTTGAATACAAGTAATTTTGATTTTTAACAATTGACAAATTATTGATTGGTTAAAAAAGCTTATTCGTACTATTGAACTTACGAAACTACCGTTGTGTGAGTGACTTCCTAGCAAACTAGTAAAGGTAGGTACGACTTTTTCAATTAGTTGTTTTTATGGGTTTTTATATTGTCACAATAATTTATTATCTCTAAATTAACAATAACACACAAACAAAAAAGCTTTAAAGTTTAGCTTTAAATATTTATGGCGTAGTGTTTTTAGAAACATCAGAACACCATGATAATTCTAAAAAGACCATGCCCTAAGTATTTAAAGCTAACACAATTTTTTGTTGTTTTTCAATCATTACTTCCTTTTCGATAACAGGGCGCGCGCGCAAGTGTGCCGTCGCCTTTGAAGAACGCCACGTTCCTCGTGCCGCCTGTTTAAGGACGCCGCCAAAAGATACCACTTTCGACGTACATAGTTTCACATCGTGTGATAATTTGCACTGCGTGGAAACGTCGCTTTTTAATGTTCAAGTATTCTAAGTTCATTGAATTATTGACCTAGTGATCCAATTCTACAGAGAGTACAAATTAGCTCAAAATTAAAACACTTTTTGACCTAATTGCTGGACTGATTTCGTTCATTTTTTGTATATCGTCTGCAAAGACGATAACAAGTATGTGGTTTTATTTATTGCATATATGTGGCATCCATATCGTATATATTTGATCTATTATGGACTATATTAAGTTCTGAGTATAGTCTACTCTCCCAGCTTGCAGATTATTTGAACTTTGTCCTATGGTCAAAGTAAAGGTCCATGTCTCAGTTCCACAGTCATCACATGCATCAAGCAATTATGCATATTTATTTTCTGATATTTTTGTTTCAGATTTGCAAGACTAGACTCCCTACAAATGATATGCAGATTTGTTATACGGCAAACAGTTGCAACAAACGTATGGCAGAAGTTACCGTTACCACCAAATCTTATATCTTATGTATCTTTGGGAAGTGATTACATAGTTCCATTATAGTCAGTGACTCAAATATATCGTGCCTTAAAACTTTCGATATTTTCTAGAACTATATACCATATCCTATTATTATCATCTGTTTATAGAATTTATACAGCAAGAAAATAATTAAAACTATGGTAACTTTGTACTGTGATTAATGTTATTGTTTATAACCTTGGAATATTCTAATAAAAATACATAAATAAAACAATATAAACTAAAATATTTTATTTAACAAAAAAAAAGAATATTACTCTTTTGTTGCAGTCAAATTGAATCTTCGATTTTACTTCAGAGTGTTTAGCCCCAGCATATTTTTGGCCTAAAAATATAAGTTTCTATCAGGTTTATTGGAATATCAAAACATAATTAATGGAAAATAAACATTTTTGAATATACATACCGTTACAAATGCAGCAGATAAAGTTTGTGGAGCTACTGACACAGGGTTCATGTTTAGTGCTGTCTGGATCAATTCTGCATCTCTGATTCGAGATTTTACAAAGTTTCTTGTAGCAGTACTGTCTTGACTACTGTCAGTTAGGTAAAACAATTCTGACGCTTTATATATACCAGCAAGTCCCACTCGTCGAATGTACCAGTTGAACTATAGGAAAAAGTTTCTTTTAGCATTATCAGTAATGACAGTATGATCATTATTAACAATGTTTTAACTGCAAGCAAAGTAGAAAACATTTAAGTCATAGAACATTGTGCTGCAGGAGTGAGCAGTTTGGTATTTATAGGTAAATTTTATAAATATGAATTCTTAGTGAAACTGTAAACTACACACTGTAATCGTGTCAATTAATTAATCATTTTAACGCGGTACAAAGCCAAAGGTGTGTCTACGCTAGGGGAGCCGAGCACAAGCTGAGCCGCTCTACTCGCGGTGTCAGGCGTGGACGTACGAGCCTACAATAATCACTCTCCTCGATCGTAGTTCTCCGCAGTGTGCTCGCGGCTCGTGGAAGATATGGACGAGTTTGCTATTGCAGCAACCGCCGCTGCTGCAGCGATTATTATAGCCGAAGTCAGTAAAAAAGCTGAAAGGCCAAGACGATGGGGTTCTACTAATTTTTATATAAATCCGGTTGTAGTACAGACAGATCCAATCAACAAAACCTAGATTTGTTAACCACTTTGAGAGATCAAGAAGCAACTGACCAATTTAAGAATTTCGTTCGAAACTTTGAAAATTTACTACGTTTATTTGGACCGCACATTGCAAAACAAAATACCATATTTCAAATGGCTATATCCATTCACCAAAGGTTGGTGGTGACGCTGCGTTTTTTGGCAAGTGGCGAATCATTCACCAGTCTAAAATATACGTTTAAAATGTCCTAACAACTAATAAGCAAGATTATTCCAAAAGTCTGTACAATAATAAATAAATTAATTGCAAACAATCATCTTCTGTCTACGTTTCCATGATGCTCGCGCGAAACGTCTATCACTCAACACGTCCACGAGCGCACTGCGAGCTAGACGTGACGTGGGCATTATTTCACGTCACTAGAAGATACAGTAACTGGCTACGCGGCATGTAACCGAATCACTAGTTTCGAGTCATGTTACAAGTAGTGATTTTTGTAAATGCGTGATTATGATTACTGTTAACCGTGATTATTGCGGGAGTCGACTGTCGGTCGGTCGAGCGCAAAGCGCACATGTGGCATACAACAATAAACAAAAGAGCGTATGTAACAGTATTATTGTACGTTTAATTTTCATACGTAAAACTGTAGACATAGACAATAAAATAGAGTAATCTCTGTTTGTAAATAATTTCAACGGTTTGCGATTCCGGGAAGCGAGTCACATTGAATTTAAGTAAAATAATTTTTAAAACATTTTTGACGGAGTCATGAACTCGTTTATTCATAAAATTAAAATAAAACTAAAAAAATTGTATAAGGTCCTGGGTTTGAATCCCGGGTCGGGCCAAAAAACATTTAAATGTTTATAATATAATAAAACTTAAAAACTGTGTGTAAATAGCCAAACAAACAAACAAATTAATTGTACAGTGTAAATAAAAGTGCAAAAACAAATGATAGTAAAAACGTTGAAAAAGTGTAAATAAACTAAATATCAATATCATTGTATATACAATCAAATTGACTTGTAAATACGCCTGCATTAATAATTTTATAAAAGTCTTAGTGTCATAGTAAACGCAAATCAATCATAAATACATTTAATGCAGTCAGTCCTAAGCTTGAAAGTATGAAGGGAAGTTAATTTATTGATTTAACTATATAGCTACAAACACTTAGATAGTGATATGGTGGTGATATTTATGCAAACAATCACAGTAGCCGAATAAAAATAGCCAGTTACAAAAATCACTAGTTTTGAAACAGGTGACTCCGACCAAGTCACTGGTTTCGTTAACTTTCTTGAAAATAACGTATCAACCCACGTCTACTGCGAGCACGATGCAAATTCCTTTGTGTTTGTCATAAAACCGACAATAGGCGGAACACAGTCGAGCACGAACCAAACGCTCGAAGCGCGCTCGTTCGAGGCGTGTAAGTCGGTCTACACTACACCACAGAATAAATAATAGTACTACGTACAGAAGTTGCACTCCTTTGATGTCGACTGCTTACAGATAAATCGCACACACAAGCTAAATAAAACTATCGCTGCGCGCTAGTGTCCATATTACTTTGCATCTTTTTTGTCACGGCGGACTTTCCGTGGTAATTATGGGATGTCAATAGAAAGTAAAAAAATACATTGCGAAATGTTAATTATGTTACTTAGGTGAAGTACTAACTAATATTCTGACTATGATTGAACCATACTTTCGCCCACATGTTAGTTCTGCGATGCCTAACGCATGCAAATTGCAAGGTCATTCGTCGGGAATCGTAACGCTTGGGAGTAGAGTAAACAACAAATAAACCTGAAATACGATTACTAACAGAAATGTGATCTATTCTATTTTAAAAATCTTGTTAGTATACAAAGTTTTAATTTCAGTATTTTGTGTTATTATAACTCAAAATATTTTAATTACAAAATACAAGTATAGGTATGTAAGTAAATACTTGGATAGTGAAGTAAATTTTAACTAATTGTTGTAATGAAGTACTTAGGTATTTCTTCTGTAGACCAAATTATTACTTAATTCTTTTTTGCTGTGAGTACCTATCTAACAAAAAAATTAAATAAATTTTTTAACCTTTCATAACTTCCTTCTAAAATTCTTCGGTAACTTAAAGAATGATATGAAGCCTTTTGTTGGTCATTTCATTAATATCCATCTAAGCAACAGTTATAGTAGAAACGACGTTTTGCTATTATAATTTATCAAATAGGTAATATACATAATACCTATATAATTTTTAAAATACATTAAAACTTTTACAACTATTTTTACCTACAATTAAATATACTAAACACTAAACAAAAACTATTTCAACAACTATTTACATAAAACTATTTACGTAAACAGCGGCAAAAAACTTTAACATTCGATCGCCACCAACGCGCCAGCCCTGACTGCGTTATTTCGCCCGGGCGCGTCGCGATTTTAGGTAATTATTTCACGCAGGTAGCAAGAGTGATAGAGGCCTGACTACACGAATTTGTGCTCGGCTAGTCTAGCGTTGACCCGCCACACACATAGGTAACGCGTCTGACATTGAATTTGAAACCCTATGTTTTTGCAAAAGAGGGCCGTACGGGCGATTTACAACTTAAATTGTAAAGAAAAACTTATACAAAAATTTTAATATATATAAACTATATATTAACTTAATGATTTCTTATATTTACGCGGACACCACACATTGATTAAAACTACTTTTACTGATTTTATCGCGTTTATTTTACTTTTAATTACTTTTATTTTTAATTCCCGACGTTTCGGGCGCTTTCCAGCACCCACGGTCACGGGGGGACTGAGATGACTAGACGTTCCGATGTCATTGTTATACCCGGAGTACCTTCAGCTTTTTTAATTATTGTTTATGGTCCGATCTATGCAAAATGAACTGACTATGTCCTATGTCTTGCAGTGGTATCCTTGGGTTTAGTTTTAATTTTATTGATTATAGGATCCCAAGCAGGTGGTAGTACGCAGCCTCCTTCTCTATTGAAATTAGGATGTTTTTTAATTTCAATAGCCTCACGTATCATCCTTGGTAGAATCGGTATTCTTTCGCGAGGATTTGTGGTCTATCAAATCTGATGTAATGGTTGGGGTCGTCTAGGATATGATCGCAAACTGCAGACTTCCCGGAACGTTGATGCTTCACATAAGCTTTATATTAACTTTGACATAAAATGATAATATACAGTAAAACATGAATAGCTTTGAAAGAATAAAGATCTTCATACTTTTAAAACTAGGAACAAACAAGTGTAATACCAGTTACTAGGCTCTACATAATTAGTAATTAATTTATGGGACGCTACGTATACGCGCGTTTACATCAAAATCGCAGAAAATGTTCAGTTTGACAGTAAATAAGTTAAAAAGTTTTATTAAAGAAAAATTGTACAATATTGAGTGTTATTATAATATCAAGGAACACATGAATGAAAATAACCAGCATGGGGTTAATATCATACTTATATAAAAATTGTACAAAATAATTATAAAGATATATAGGTATATTTAAAAATATATAATCCCGCTGGGTTTCTTGCTGGTTCGTCCCAGAGCAGAGGTATTTTCCGAACCAGTGGTAAATAAAAAGTGACTTTCATTAAGTATTACGTAATAATCAATATTTAAAAAAATATTCTGTTCTATTCTATTGTCTGAAACAAATTTCTGCTTTTTAAGTTCAATACATGAGTGACTTTTAGTGAGCAGGATTTTCTTCAGTAATCACCAATCTTAATAGATATTTCACACTGTATTTTACGTCTGGCGTACATGAGATGATTACACCGTCGTCGATCGTAGATCGTTTCGTATAAGAAATTACGGAGAGATCTCATGAATGAATCGCCTGTAATTTTCCATAGACGATGCTTAGTGGACGAAATTGTTGCTTTTTCACACGTCGCCACTTCGCACCAAACGTCTAAAGTTTATAGTTTACAAATGTAGTAACCGTATTTATGCGTTAAAAAAACACTGTTCTTATAAAAAAATTTTTGCTGACCACATAGGAAAATGAGGAAACATAATATATCACTGTAAAAGAAGTTGTTTATTAGTATTATATGAGTTAAGTCGAACTTACGTCAACACTTCGATCACCTGAATGATAACAAACGTCGTCCACGAGAGAAAGTAACGTAGCTAAGCTGTTTGGAACATTATTAGGAAGTGTCTGTATTGCCATCGCTTTAGGCCACGTACTCCTAAAACAAAGCATAATTGAATACTGTAATAATTTATGTTCACGAAGTGTAGGTGCAAAAACATCTTAATTGATAAACGCATTAAATTTGGACTTAGGACACAGTTACTAGGCTTAAAAATAAACAAATTTCGGAGTAGGCCTTATCAAGCCACAGCTGGTGAGTAGTAAACTGGTCGATAATTTTCTTACGCCGCCACTACCCGGCAATACTGCTAACGGCATAACTGATAATATAGCTGCATACCACACCATCCTGAGAGTTGGAACCACCATCCACTTACATAAATGTGGCTTTAAAAATTTAAACATTTTATTCGGAGGTAAAAATATAAATACAGTTTGAGAATTATATTAGGGTAATAGAGAATTATCAAAAAGCAAAAATAATTTCATGCTTTATATGGGTGATATTAAATAATTTTTGGCTTTCCCTTTCATTCCGCGAACTTTTTGACCTCCCCTCATAGATGTCTATAATAAATAGACCATTTAATTATCCTACTCCTGATACTCTGCATTCGGCTTATTCTCTAGAAGTTTAGTTTTCTGGAGTTTTCACTTCTACTGCGTGTCAACTGCACACATATTCTTTGACTCCCTACACTTGGCCATCAAAATATCTTGCTAAAGTCCTTGAGGAGCCGCGGTAAATTATGAGCTAAGCGTTCCCTTTAAATTACACAGTATGCGGGCTACCTGGGTTCTTATCCGCGGGAACCACTGACATTGTTTTTAATGATAAGTGCTAATTTACCACAAGCTCAGCGTTGAAAATGAAAGCAGTGCTTAGACAACTATGTTCTAGTGTAAAGGGTATAGAGAGTCTAGAGTATAATAACAGGCTGTACGGCATATAACACATACATATACATAAACTCTCACGCCATTACCCAGAGGCATAGGCTGAGACTATGGACTTCCATTTGGTACGATCCTGACTCACCTCTCACTTATTTCACATCTGTATTTTAATAGAACAAGTTGTCACACTACCATTCAGAGTCAGCCCTAACATAATTCTTAATGACCGCAATTCTACAGCATTAATTATACTTTCATTCTTCTGCCACTCCACTTTCACCACCATATATTAATAGGATGAGGAGTCCAATTTACTTTGTCGCATTTATTGCTGTGCAGGCTATGAGGCATTGCATCTTAGTCCTCAGAGTTGACAATGCATCTGTAGCGTTCTTTTTTGAAGGTTGCTGTAGGTGTCCGTAGAATGAGGTAGCTGATATCATCAGGGAGATATTATGTATGCCACCTGAATAATAAAAGAACAGTATACACAAAATAAGCATTTTATGGTGGATTATAAATAGTTTCAAAGCAGATCTGTTCTGTCAGTCTGGCTTTGTTAAGTAATTCTCTGGGGTCCTGAAATTGGGTTACAAGTGATTGTCTAATGGTTTAGGGTATGGGACTGTGAATATAAGGGTTGTGGGTTTGAATCTATTATTCAAATACTATTGTGTACAGTTTTCTAGTCTCTTAGTTCAAGAATTAATGGAAATATTGATAATTACTGAAAAATACAATAGCTTTTAGAAGTCATGCATCTAGATAAGACATCTTTATTGTATAGATATTCACATACTTATGAATTAGAGTAGAAGAGTAACTACAAATGAGTATTGTAAAATCATTTTCATGTACTACTTACTTATAAGGTTGAATCATCAAAAGCCTTGTCATAATAGCATCTTCGATAAACTGAACTGGTACTTTTGACTCCTTTAATCCTTCTTTAGGCCACTGTATAAAATAAAGTTTAATTTAATAAAATTCAAAAAAAGGTAAACAATTCAGTAATATACATAATATATACCAAACTTACATGTTTAATTTGCTCCACCAATATTTCATTACATTTAACATTGAAATAATGGACTAGATCACCACTACCATTTGGAAATAGGCCATGTGTGATGCCTGGGTAACCAGCTGCTTCAGCACCTTGGCTTAGTGACTCTATAGACCAGCCAGTCTTAGGAACAAAGTCTAGAGCCTTTGCTAATATATTTTCTTTTACATTTTCTTCATATCGGTGCTCATCTTGATCGGATGTTATAGTGGATACCACCATTTCTTTCTGTTGTTTTTCATTGTTTATACAATAACTCCTTATAACTCTTTGAGTATTATTTAACATAACAAATGAAAAAGGCAGGATGAATCTATTGTTTTTGCGCAGAGCTGTCAACAAAACAATAAATTATTTTATGTAAATCTTATAGTAATGCAGATAGGGTAAAATGGTATCTACATATATTTTCATTAATATATATATATATTAGTAAAAATAAACAATAGTGAAAAAAAAACAGTTTATTAAAATATTTGTTATGTATTGAAAATTAACACTTAATTTTCGTAAGATTAATGCATTCTGATAATCTAGCTGAGAGGCCTTCAATTAAATGAAAAGCATTTAAAGCTGAATGTATTATTTCTTTCTTATTTTCTATTGGTATTTTATCCAAAACATTGCCCCCAATATTAATGGACACATTAATATCTTCATTAGTTTTAGACTTGCTTTCTTCTATATCTTTTAATTTTACTTCATAATGTGCCTTAGACATATTTAAACCAGTCCTCAATTTCTCTAAATATTCAGTTTCTATGTAAGTTAGATTTTCCCTTATTCCAGTCTGGTTTGTGGTATCTTTTAAAACAAGGTATCTTAAAAAGTTCAATGCTGTGATTATTTGATCAGCCAGTTCTACTAAATCAGATTCTGCACCATGTGGTAGATAACACATTTTTTTTATCATATCCATTAGTTGTGCACCAGTGAAACACTCATCTAATGATGGATTTTTAAAAGATTCGTTTACAGAATTCTTGTATAAAGTAATGGCATAACCAATCATGCCAGAATGGTTTGCAATTTCTAATAGACATTTAATAAGCATACATCTTCCCTTGTATTCAAATTTGTTTATATGTATACCAATCAAATTTACTGCATTTTTACGAATCCTTTCATAATCTGAATATATTGCAACTTTGACTAAACCTTTTAGTAAATCAATGTGTACTGGTAATGACAGGAAAACACATGAAGCATTAATTGGGAAACGGTTTAAAAGAGATTTACACAAAGATAAAGCTTTAGTGAGAGGACCATATTCTGTATAGCTTAATAAATAATTTACATTAAGAAGTGTAGTGTGAACAATGTATTCATTAGAGTAAACTTGTGGCATTGCAGTATCCATAATTTTAAAATGTTCAGAGAATACTATATAAAATAATCCCGAAAGTGAAGTCATATTGATTTTTTCCCTATGTTCATAAGGTGAAATATCTTCTTCTGAATCTTTTCTTAATTTTGATATTTTACTTTCTCTACTACACACTTCAACATATGTTAAAAATTTAATCACATTTTTTTCTAACACACAAATATCTTCAATAATTGTAGCACATAACTGTCTTGCTTCACTTTGAGCATTGGAATCTGGATCCAAATCAATGTATATCATTGGTTTTCCCAAGAGACTGATTAGAAATGAACAAATAATTTGTTTTGTTTTTACAATATTGTCTTCCTTATTTAACTCTTCAATAAATGGTTTATAAAACGGTAGTATCATTGAGTAAACTTTTACAATTCTTCTCATATTATTATCACAATCTATCAATAGGCGCTCTACTCCTTCTAATTTGTAATTAGGTATGGGGATTGTTTCTAAGTAAGTAGTGATGGAATTGAGACACCATTCTAAAGATCGTCCGCGTTTGTTATGTAATTTTTTTAACAGTAATTGCAATGGAATCAAAATTATACTGAACTGAGAATCATTTTTTGCAACTTCTATTTGTTCAATAAACTCCAATAGTGCCTCTTCAGGAGTCGCTTTTTCTACAACAATTTTTAGTAATTCTTCACAGGCACCATGCAACGATGGTTTTATGATAATTGTATCATCTTGTATTTTGCTTGTAATGATTGATATTAAATCCCAACAGTTATTTTTAAAGCTTTGTTCAAATTTCTCTTCATATGGTATACTCAGGGCTTCTTTATATTTTCCAGAATCCAATAATGATGAAATAAAATCCACAATATCAGTATGGTGGTCCATGCTGAATAATCAGAGTTTATTTCCAATGAACTCTGAAAATTATTGCTTCAAATTTAGAATATTCATGCTATATAATTTCATTGTAATCATAACAATTACTTCCATGTTCCAAGGTTAAGTAGCATAAATTATTTGAATGAAAGATTGAAGCATCATATTCTTCTTTTATATTCAGATTTCCTGAGAATTTTGGAAGGCCCATAGCCAATATAAAACTATAATAATAGTATAGTAAAAAATACCAAAAAATATTTTTGATTCTGATAAGTGATAACCAATAATATAAGATGTAATAAACTACATGCCTCAAATAATTAAGAAATTTAACTTAAACCGAAGATTACACAACAAATATATGTAAAGTTTAGATTATTTTCAGTAACGAAATAACAATAATTGTATGTGTGGATAGTATGCCAGTAATTACTTTACCCTTACTTACTTTTAAGTTTACACAAGTTACGGATCTGTGGTATTTGTCAAAAGTACTGAAAGAATTTATACAAAAGTACATTTTTCTACATTATTATTATGAAGGAACATGGAAGTAAAATATTGAGAACACAGTCTCAACTTACAGCAGAAAGCTCGTGGCAACTTATTCATTGTTGAACTGCAATACCTTATGATAAATAATTGCTATGATATAAACGTTATAAATAATATTAATACGGTTTTGATGTTACTTAAATCCAAGTGATTATTTATTTTAGTTTTTAACCCATTTAACATAAATAAAAGACCGACATAGTAATTTTTTTGGCAGTGTCATTATCAAAATCATAGATAAATAAATATGTAGCAAGCTAATCAAAATTCAAAATATATATTTTCTTGATTAAGATTTTTGGCTTGGATACTTGTCTTTTAAGTCATGCCTTCGTTTTATAATTTTTCTTCACAATATGCTATTCGGCACTTAGAGCATATATTACATGGAGGGAGCACTTGAAGAAACGTGATCGTTCTAAGTTTAGGAAGTCTTCTCTCGCACATGCTTCTATCTATCTTCCCTTGACCTGCCCACCAATGAAGTGACTGTGCGAGAGAGACAGACTACCTAAACTCAGTCTCTCTCTCTCTCTACGCCGATCACCTTTCTGCTCACACAGTGCTCCCTCCATGTAATGTATGCTCATTCGGCACGATATTCCCGTGAAAGTCTCGGGTTATTTTGTAGCCGTCGACGGCATGCCGTGCCGTAGGTCGCTTTTATAATTCACCGTAAAATCATTTACGCTTTGCGCCTCCAAGTGTGGACGTCATGTTCTCGAAGAGACAGCGACTACTTATTCTTTATTTGTTATATTTACGACGTAAAAAATACAAATTACAAGAAGGTATTGGCAACATCACTTTAAGAGAAAAAAGAACAAAGCGAAGAAGACCCAAATAAGTTTTTCAATTATTTTCGGATGTCAATAACAACGTTTTATTACATACTTTCTCATCTGAGTGATGATTTGAAAGCTCGCCGAACACATGTATCGTTACCTCCTGAAGAAGCAGTAGCCGTCACGTTGAGGTAAGTAATAAGAAAATTGCATAAATTCCCAGTAGTTTGATTGATTGAACTATAGGAGGAAACTTTTGTCCCAACAGTCAATTATAATTTTACGACATAAAACTATTGTGACAAATGCTTCCCACTAGTTCTATCAATATAACAGTTATCTAGAAAAGGGCATAAGTAGTAGGATATAGAAGAATAAAAATTACCATATTTATTTTTCATAATAAGAGTTTTAATTCAGTCATGAACTTAGGTACCTACAAAAAATAACATCAAACATCGTCGTAAGTTATTGTATTAAAAAAATTTTAATACTCATTTGGTTCCACCTGTTCTATCTCATATATGTACGATGTTTCCTCCTCCTCTTCTGTCACAGGTTGGATGTCGTTGTCTTGTGGTAGTTTATGGATTTGAACATCATGAACAATCACTGACTTGGATGAAGATGGCTGTGGAGCTTTTATCACAAAAGGCGTTTGCAGATTTTGTCTTTGCACTGAGTCTTGTTTATTTTCCTTATAATATTGCCTTTCATTGTTAGCTTTAAATTTAGGAGTAGATAGTGGATTTGGTGATGGATAAGTAGCAGGGTTACTTCTTGCCTGAACTCGATGTTGTTTAATTTTTTTATGGAATTTAATATATCCATTTGTAAATAAATTTTCTCCCTCTCGGACATATTGCTTAAATATGGAACAAAGGATACAAAAAATTTATCGTCAGGAGACGTATGTGTCTCTGTCTTTTTAATTCTTCAATTATTTGCGATTCAATGTTTTCTAATTTTCTTGATGACATTGTTACTTTCTTAATCTTCTTTTTGTTTGGTGAACTATTTATATCGTCATCAATATATTCATCATCTGTTTTATCATTTGCTGCAGAAGTAATATCTTGCCCAGTTACAGAACTGTCAGTGTTGCTCAGCGACTCTGTAGTATTTTCTTTCTGGCTACATTTTAACAAAAATTGGAGATGATTGGCATAGAGGTATGTTTTTTTAGCTCCTACCCTGACTTTGTTTTTAAGGATTTAAGAAAGGAATCTTTTATATTTATCCATTTCGTTGTAATTTTGTCTCCTAAAACAGTAAAATGGGTTAATAAATAATGAATATTCTGTTTCAGATACCTGGCGACTGGTTCAACATTATCGGATATGTACTACAATTACCGAATTGGCGTTGCAACTCTCAGCCAAATAATACGACACGTTTGTCAGAAGATATGGATTTTATTAAGACATCGACATCTACCAAAACCCACAGAATAAAACTGGCGAAAGGTTGCAAATGGCTTCAAAAAAATGCTCATTTTCCATTTTGCTTAAGAGCAATCGACGGGAAACATATCAGAGTACAAAATTTTCCACATACAGGTGCATTGCATTATAATTACAAAGGATATTACTGCATAGTACTTATGACTATATGTGACTGAATACAAATTTATATATGTCGATACTGGAGCATATGGGAAAGATTGTGATTCTGCCACTTTTCAAAACAACTTTTTGGAAACTATTGAATAGTCATGATCTTGAAATACCAAACCCCCAGAGTCTGCCACCAGAAAAAGTGAAAGTTTCATACATTTTTGTCGCAGATGCAGCTTTTCCAGAAAACGAGCAAATTCTAATACCACATGGTGGGCATAATTTGAATGTGAAACAACGAGTCTTTAATTATAGACTTTCTCGAGCGCGACAATACGTTGAATGTGCAATCGGCATACTATGCAACAAATGGCGTATATTGCATCGGCCTCTAAATGTGTCAAAAATGTTTAGCATGGATATAGTAAATGCCTGCGTTGTACTACATAATATTGTCAGAGAGTATGATGGATATATGGTAAAAGACTACGTTATCTCAAATAACCAAGATGGATTGACCAGTTTACCCTCAAGTAAAACAAAATCAACATACAAATCAGTACGAGGTGTCCGAACATGTTTTGCGAATTATTTTATTTCCAATGTTGGATCTCTGCCCTGGCAATTACAAAAAAAATAATCTATTGAACATTTTATTCAGTCAATAAATAAAAAAATATCTTACCAACTTGTTTCTTTTTATCAGTAGTTAATTCATCATAACGTTCTTCCAAGAAGCGGAAGATCTCGTTCCGTGCCCTTTGTTTAACAACTTTATCATTAAAAGCGTCCGATGATTTATCCCATAGGCATGGTCTTGTTTCAACAAGTTGCAGTAAGGTTACTATATCGTATTTAAAAGTAATTTTTCTTTCACAACATACGCAAATGGCGCCGTGACGCAGCCGCCCACGCCGCCTACCTGGCTACGACACACACACACACAGCTACATTTCTTGTACGTACATAATACACAATATTCGCTGAAGGTCATACAGGTTTACGCACCAACCTCGGCACATTCCGATGAGGAGGTGGAGGAAATGTATGAGGATATTTCCAAAGCCATGCATTCCTCCAAAACCCACTACACGGTGTTGATGGGAGACTTCAACGCAAAACTAGGCACAAGAGAAAACGGTGAGCTGAAGTTAGGGAAATTTGGAATAGGGCAACGGAACCGAAGGGGCCAGCAGCTGGCCGACTTTATGGAGAAAGAGGGACTCTTTATGATGAACTCTTTCTTCCAGAAGCGGCCCCACAGGAAGTGGACCTGGTCGAGGCCCGACGGTTCGACAAAAAATGAGATTGACTTCATTATGACGACCAGACGCCAACTGTTCAGTGATGTCTCAGTGATCGCAAGGGTGAAAACTGGCAGCGATCACTGAATGGTTAGAGGCACACTGAACCTAAACGTTAAGTTGGAGAGGTCTCGTCTAATGAAGTCAACGCTCCGTCCCCCCTCGTGCTCTAATCCAGAATCCTGAAAACTTTCAGCTCGAGTTACACAACCGCTTTCAGTGCCTACAAGATTGCAATGCAGTGGACGATATGAATGACAAGCTCGTGGAAACTGTCCATGCGGTCGGAGCTAAGTTCTGCAAGACCCGCCGCAGAAGAACACAAAAACTCTCCGATCACACTCTTAATCTCATGGCTGTTAGACGGGAGATGAGGCTGCAATCGTCAACAGATTTGACAGCATACAGGCAACTGAACAGACAGATCTCCAAATGCATGCGGCGAGACTTACGCAACTTTAATACTTCTCGTATTAAAGAAGCGATCGAGCGGAACCAGGGCTCCAAAGTCTTTGCCAGAGATCTGTCTGCCAGAAAGAGCCAACTGTCAAAGCTGAAGACTGAGTGTGGCAACATCGTTTCCGGGACACCTGAGATTCTGAGTGAGATTGAGAGGTTCTATGGGCAGCTGTACACATCATCGTTGGAGCCACACTCAAGTGTGAGTAACGATCCAAGAGCAAGTCTTATCCGACACTATTCCGATGATATCCCGGACGTCAGTCTGAGCGAGATTAGAATGGCTCTCCAACACCTTAAAAACGGCAAGGCCCCGGGCGAGGATGGAATTACAGCGGAGCTTCTGAAAGCGGGTGGAACACCGGTACTTGAAGTCCTTCAGAAGCTCTTCAATTCCGTCCTCCATGGTGGCACTACTCCAGAGGCGTGGAGCAGAAGTGCGGTGGTCTTGTTCTTTAAGAAAGGCGACAACGCTCTCTTGAAGAACTACAGACCGATTTCCCTTCTGAGCCGCGTCTACGTGCTGTTTTCGAGAGTCATTACGAATCGTCTCGCAAGCAGACTCGACGACTTCCAGCCTCCCGAACAAGCCGGTTTCCGAAAAGGCTTCAGTACCATAGACCACATACATACCCTGCGGCAGATTGTACAGAAGACTGAAGAGTACAATTTGCCACTTTGCCTGGCGTATGTGGACTATGAGAAAGCCTTTGATTCCGTCGAAATTTGGGCGGTGCTGCAGTCCCTTCAGCGGTGCCAAGTTGACTGTCGGTATATCGAAGTGCTGAAGTGTTTGTACAGTAGGGCTACGATGGCTATCCGAGTACAGAACCAGAGCTCGAAACCTATCCAACTGCAGAGAGGTGTAAGACAGGGTGACGTTATATCCCCGAAACTCTTCACCGCTGCTTTGGAAGACGTTTTCAAGCTACTGGACTGGAAAGGATACGGTATTAACATCAATGGCGAGTACATCACTCACCTTCGATTTGCCGACGATATAGTCCTTATGGCAGAATCGCTGGAGGACCTTAGCACTATGCTCAATGACCTCAATGGTGTCTCCCAACGGATAGGTCTTAAGATGAACATGGACAAAACAAAGATTATGTTCAATGTCCATGTCACACCTATGCCGGTAGTTGTGGGGAGCACTATGCTCGAAGTTGTTGACGAGTACGTTTACCTGGGACAAATAGTCCGACTAGGTAAGTCCAACTTCGACCGAGAGGTCAATCGACGGATTCAACTCGGCTGGGCAGCGTTCGGGAAATTACGACACATATTCTCGTCAGGTATACCTCAATCTCTGAAAACTAAAGTGTACAACCAGTGCGTGTTGCCAGTGATGACTTACGGATCAGAGACGTGGTCCTTCACTGCTGGCCGTATGAGGACGCTCAAGGTCGCTCAGCGAGCTATGGAGAGGGCTATGCTCGGAGTTTCTCTGCGTGATAGACTCAGAAATGAGGATATCCGCAGTAGAACCAGAGTGACCGACATAGCCCAACGGATTAGTAAGCTGAAGTGGCAATGGGCCGGCCATATAGCTCGAAGAACCGATAACCGATGGGGAAGAAAGGTTCTCGAGTGGCAGCCTCGTACCGGTAGGCGTAGTGTAGGGCGACCCCCCACTAGATGGAGTGACGACCTGGTAAGATATGCAGGAAGTCGATGGATGCAGGTGGCTCAGGACCGTGCTTTGTGGCATTACTTGGGGGAGGCCTATGTTCAGCAGTGGACTTGTGAAGGGCTGTAATGATGAATGATAATGACATAATACACTCTCAATAATGCCGCGACGGTTTAATGGGGAGCGCAGTGTGCTACGGCGACGGCACGGCAGACGTTTGCCGTTCACGGCATGCCGTTGTCGTGGCCGATAAATTAAAAGCGTCTGCATACAATTTCATACATTTTGCTTTCCTATTTTACCGTGACGGCAAAACCGTGCCATGCCGTGCCGTCCTACGGCAAATTATAGAAGCGACCTTTGGGTAATTTTGATGACAATTAAGCCCATGGAGGTTAGAGAACAAGAGAACGATCGCTGTAGAAAATAGTCTCCCAGAAATATGGACAAAATAAGTGAGGCACTGCGATCGCCAAGTTGTCTTAATAAAAGCGGGCTGTTGTGCGCTATATAGTTTGAAATAATTATAATATCATTCAAAGAAGGAAAAAAAAAGAAAATAACGAAATTATTATTATTTATTATTATTAGAGTATTATCATCTCATCATTCATTTAGAATATTCTCACCTGGTTGGGTTGAATAAATATATAAAAGGAAATGATAAATATACATAAATATATATTTGTCGGAAAGTACAACACGATAAGCCAATTATGTGGGAAATGACAGGATAGCGTTAATTATTTAAAAAAAATGGTAAAAGTGTGAGAGTTGATGTCCAACTTGCTCTCTTGCTTGCACAATTTATCATTATCAGTAATAGGACAGCGTAACGCACTATACATTCAGCATAGAGTAATTACAGTTTGACCGTACCGCAGTATGTCCCCATTACACACTAGTGCAATGTGAAGGGCACAATTACATGATAACACCAAATTATGCAAACCAACAACAACCTTACCCATCTCAACGTAACACACCACAGCCTCTCCGTAACACCATCCTCTTTGCCTGCACCACAATGGACAGAACAATGACTATCTTAGCACGCGTAGAATGACTTCACTCGTGAAACGACTTAAGCGGAATATCTCGCGCTCTGCACATACACTGAACTTTATACCGCACAAACGAGTGGGAGGGTTTATCGATATACCCTCAATTCCTACAAGTGACGAGATCCAACCGGCATTTTATAGATGCGCCTACACGGCCAACCCTGATATACGACCGTCCTCGGGCGTGCATCTTCCTGAATTCCTGTAACAAACACTCTTAATCTCCAATTTGTCTGTTCGTCTATCCTGACATGAATAGGCACACTGTTCATCATACCTTTGGACATTTACACACATAAGTGCCAGGACGATTACATTTTACCTCGTGTAAACGTAACACTAGCTAAGGTGTCCTTTTGATCAGCCATCACTTCCCATGATGACACCTAACTCCGAGAGTGACAGCGTCCCTTCGATCAGTCACCATATCATATGACA